GAAACAGTCCTGAACTCCAGAATTTGGGGGTGGGGCAAAGGGATCCACTTTGGGGAGGTATCCTTTGGGAGAAATGACACTGTGTCCCCATACCGTCTCATCACCTCTTATAGCCCCAGGAAAAACAGGGCAGGAGGGCTGGAACCTGGCCAGAACTGGAGCTCCTGCCATGAAAAAGACACCTGGGTCTGCAACAGAGACTCACTGCCCTAAATTCAACTGGTGACCTTGGCCCAGCCTTCCCCTGATCTCAGGACCTCAGTTTACCCACCTGAACTATGTTTGGGGGATGGGATGGGGGAGACTTGCTGGTTTCTTTGTGTCTTTTCTGTTCTGAGAGACCCTCAAGGTCTTTCCTGTCTTTCAGAGAGAACAGGGGGTCCTGATATATGTCTTTCAGATTATTCTCCTATAGCCCTAAAAATAAGCAGCCCCTGTTAAGCTTTACTGGCTCCCCTGCCCTCCCTGGGGCTCTAGAGAGTTACTTGCTGCTCCAGTCTGGTGGGTTTTGGGTCTCTGCTGGGCCACCCACGTGGCAGCCACACATCATGCCACACTGACCTCCAGCTCACCTCTGAGGGTGCCCAGCCCCCTCTGGTCAGCAGGGCTCCCTGGCAGAACATACCAAGCTCAGATCAGGCCTCTGACCTCGGGCTTTCCCTCCTGCTCCCCAGGCCCCCTCCCCAGACCCGGTGCCCACTCCTTCTGTCCCTGGCTTCCTGCCACTCAGGCTGGAAGGGGTGGGGGGGTGACAGCTGTGTAAGCAATGGTGGCTGCCCCCTTCCTGCCCCTCCCCCCCAGCTGTCTCTCTCCCATGACAGCTGCCCAATCAAAGGGCCGGGGGCTTAGCCAGCTCCCCCCACATGCAGGGATCAAGTGTCCACCCTGGCTTTGTTCTGGAGCAAGAACAATCCGGGGGAGGGGAGGGCTCCTGGGGCTAGGCAACTCAAGTAGACTGGCCCACCCCTTGGGGATTCCCTTGTCTCTTCTGGCCAGAGTATCTGGACCAGTTGGGGGCCTGTGGACCCACCTGGATGAGAGAAAGGGGGATCCAGTCTCAGCTTTATCCCCCACCTCACATCCCTCAATTTCTCCCTCAGCTCTCCCAGCTCCCAACCTAGCAGCTTACTTCTCCTATTCCAAAAGCAGTCATGCAGGCCACACCCAGTGATGCTAGGGAATGGCTCAGAGCATCAGGCAAGGCAGGGTGTGGCAGGAGGTGGACACTGGGCAGGGGGCAGGGGGTCAGCATGGAGGGCTACTGGCTCCCCTGCCTGTAGCCTAATTGAGGGATGCTCACCCTTGCTGATTAGCTAGACCACCACAAAAACTGCCCCTCAGACCATGGGCCCAGCCTCAGCCTTTCAGTCTCCCTTTGGAAGGAGAAGGGGAGAGCAGCCTGGGGTCTATAAGCTCCAGACTCTGGTTTCTTGCTTTGGGTCTATTTCATAGACAAAGTAAAGAAGGGGGAGCTTGGAAAGGGGACCTCTGATAAATTCCCCTTATCAGAAGCTATAAATGCTACAGCCTCCCCTCCTCAGGGCATCATTAGATAGCCCCAAAGAGTCTTCACAACCAAGGGAAACTAGATTGGGCTCAGGAGAAATGCCACAGCACCACTCACTGGTACCCACTCCTGCATGATCTCACTCAAATTGAGAAAGATCTCTGGCTTCCATTCTCCATGCTAAAGACAGCGCACTTTCTCTGCCGCTCAGTAGCCATGATTCCCAGAACCCAAAGAGTAAACCCATAGACAGGCAATCAAGGCCCTTCATGGTCCATCCCCTGCTAACTCTTCTTGTCTCATCTCTACCCCATCCCCCATACAGGTCAGGCTGCAGAACCACCTCTTACCACCTCCAGGCCTCTGGGCCTTTGCCCAGGCTGATGATCCCAGTTTGAAAGGCCCATCCTCCTCACTCTCTATCAAAATCCTTCTCAAATGCCACCTCCTCTGTGGAGCCTTCCCCAACCTTCCAAGTCAGATGAGACACACTCAGGCCTCTGTGCCCCCAAAGATATGGCTGTAACTCAAAGGAATCCCAGTTGAGCATTTCAGAGCCCGTCCTTCCACTACCCTGAGAGATTCAGGAGGATAAGAAATTTGAGACAGGACCAGGCTCAGAATACAGGCAGAATTGTTAGGGCTCACAGGGCCTGAGATCGCTAGAGACCATGAGGCTCACCTAAGGACCCAGGGTTGAAGGACTAGCCACATGGGCAGAGAGCCAGGCTCTACCTGGATAGGATTCTCAGTTCTTTCTCAGCACCCAGTAGCCCCTACTCCTGCTGTTTTGGGGGGTCTAGAGGCTCCCTGGGCATGTTGCTGGAATGAAGAATTTGGACTGTGTTTTGAGATTTCTAGGGAATCAGAATAGGCTACCCAAGAAGGGGGGTTGTAAGAAGCACTAGAGCATGGGATAGGTTTCACAGAACTGAGTTGGGTTCAGCCTATCACAACTAGAAAGGCTTCACCAATCAAGAGAAGAACCTGAGGTCCAGAATATAAGGGAATTGTTTGTAAGACTACATGCCACAACTGGCAGACTGGGAGAACCCGGGGTCCACCTGGGCAGCTCAATGCTCATTCCTCAAGAGGTTGGTGCCACTGGGCAACGGTGATGGAGACTGGAGGAGAGAGGCAGTGATGGGAGTAGGGTAAGTGGACAGAGCCTGTCTGGGGACACAGGGTGGGGCAAGTCAGCCTCCCCACGGCCTGGGCCTGCCAGGGTGTGTGGGCCGCCTGCTCCCAGCCCCCCACCCTGGGCATGCAAGGAGAACAATCCCCTTGTGTTTGGGCAGTCTGAGCCTGCATGCTGATGAAGGCTAGGGGGTGGGGGCAGGGATGGGGGTGCCTTGCAAGTTGAAGGGGTTCCAGGACCTGGAGGGGTTAGGAGATCTTCAGATGGGGAAACAATAGCGTACCAGGTACTGGTCCTGAGGCCATGAGGGTGACCCCAAGGGCTAGATCTCAGCCCCTGGGGAGTGCCTGGGGTCTAAGAGCTCTTTGTGGGGGAAGGAGGAGCCCTAGGGACACATGTCCTGTTGGTCCAGCAAGAAGGTGATCATCTTGGGCTTGTTGTGGACCCAGAGCCCCATATTCTGGGAACAGGGGATGCAACTGGCTTAGGGTACATCCCCTTGAAGACCACTCCCTTGGGTGTTGGGGTGGGGCGGGGCCCTGGGTGCCACAGGTCTCAAGATGGCGGTCCTGGGATAGGGGAGTGAAGAGGCAGGCACCTCCCTCCCCAGGCCAGGCAGGCAGAAGAGCCAGGCTGAAGTGAGTAGCAGAGACCCCCACCCCCCAGGACCCCAAACAAGAAGCTAGGTCAGAACCTAGGAGTTGAATAGGAAGGGACCACTTTTACCCCCAACTACCATCTGCATACACCCTTGGCCTGGAAGTCTGTGTCTGGTTCCTCTGAGGACTGCAGAGAATGGGAAGGGGTGTGTGCAAGCCAGGAGCTGCAGGAGAATAGCAGATGTGGACAGAACCCCCAACACAGGGCAGGCTCAAAGGACAAAAAGCGCGAAAGGGATGGGGCCTCAAATCTGGTACCTAAGGTCCAGGAGCCCCTGCCTGGTGCTGGGGGCTCTCCTGGCAGACCAGTGCCCCCCACCTGTGCAGGCCTCAGCCCTATGGGGCAAGGAACGTGTTCCTCGCAGTCTCCCAGGACCCCAACCCACGTACTCGGGCATCAACTCTCCGCCCCCAGCCGAACCCCCAAACTTCGCTGCCCGCCG